TCTTTCTTTAATTTTGCTAACAAGTGATGCTAATAATGAAAAATATTGAATTGTTGATGGTTATAATGATGAGGAGGAGGTTAATATGATATCCTACTATAAGGTAATTGAAAATTTCAAGTTCAAATAAGGAAATTCAATGAAGATGATTTTATCTCGGATGACACAGAAGATAACTTGGATGAAGAGGAGTTCAAATTATAATCCGATAAAGAATTAGATAATATTTAGGATTTTTTAAGCCAATGTTCGTATATAATTTAATTGTAGAAATTGATTACTATATAATTGTAGTATTTATGTTTTTGATCATTATATTTTTGTTAAAAATTTGAATAATATATATAAAGTTCGAGTAATTGTAGTATTTATGATTTTAAGTAATATTATTTTTTGGGAAACTTTGAAGAATGTTAATTTTTTTTTAAAAAATTATATTATTTTATTTATTTATTAGTTTACAATATTTAAAATAATATTAAAACTTGAAAAACGCATAATTACGCATATTCTTCATATAAGCACATATATTCTTTTAATGTTTAATACTCAACCAAAATGAATTGTAACGCATTACACATTTTATAACCTTGCTAAAATTGATAACTTTTTTGAGCAAACCATATAGTCTACAAATTAATGAAATATTACAAAAGCTTCTTAAACATTCTTTATCGAGGGGAAAGAAAAGAAGAATTTTAGAAATTATCTTAGGGTTCGTTTGATTGTAAGAATGAAATTTGGATGGAAAAAAAGAATTTTGGGGAATTGAATAGCCTAGAATTTGTTTTCCTAATAATTGTCAATTAAATGTGTTTGATTAGTATAATTTTTTATCTGAAAAATGTTGAAATTTTGGATCTTTTGTTGTTTGTTTGGCTTTGTTTTTCATGAAACTTGTTAATTAAAGGAAAAAAAATTATTACAATTGAGGATAGAGTTTATTTCCATTACCTAAAAATAAAAATGATGAAGAAGAAGAAAAAGATAGCTGGAAAACCAATTCCCACTCCACAAAACCAAGAAAATTGTTCACGCGTGGGGGGAAGAGGGAAAAAGAATTGCTAAGAAAATGTTGCAATCAAACAAACCAAAATTGTGGAAAATGGACCATGAAAAATGTGACAAATCAAACAGGCCCTGAGTGAAACACATGAACATTCTTATTGTTCATGTGTAGTCTCATGTAACATGCTTGTCGTGGTGAATTAGATATGACAATTGAAAATTTGATCCCATACTTTCCTTTTTAATTTTTTATTATTAAAAAATTCACACGTTCTAAGAGACCTATAAATTCTATTCGTTTATTTACCAATTCTTTTAAGTGTTTAAAAATACTTTCCAAATATATACTTGTTTGCAAGAATCATGATCAAGGTAGGAGACTGTGTAATCACTAATCACTTAATCGTGACGGTCTAAATCAAATATATGTTGACTATCGTACATGTTGTCGGCGTCAAAAAAATTAAAAAATAAAAAAAGATAGATATTATGCAGATCAATTTGAATTTTGTTCTACAATGGTACGGACTACTTAAACAACGTTAAAGTAAATCCTATAATGGACAAATAGTGGGGTGGTTGTAGGTCTGTTTATTATTTTTAAACTAACTGTCATTTCTAGATGTTTCGCCAATTTTCTTGCCCTCAATTGCTTTAATAATGTAAATTACATGATTATGGAAATGAATTCTTCCATTGACTCGTGCAAAGTTATGAAATGTAATGCCGTATAAATTGAAAAACTTCTTGAAATATCTTTGTTGCGTTGAAGACGCATGACAAGCCTTCAATTGAATAGTGATTTCTGCTTTTCCTTTTACTTTTTTAAGGGAGCTTTTTAAGCACGTTGCTTTACATTAGTTTTTACTTAAAACTTTTATAATCAAATACAATACTTCTAAAAAATTATTCAAATGTGTTAAGAACAATTTCTTAAATTAAGAATTAGATTTTGATTTTTCAAAAATCACGTGGTACGACCTATACAATTACAATATGATTTCAGTGAACACATTCTAATTAGTGATGGCAATTTACCCCATCCCGATGCCGCCCCGCCCCGAATGGGGCAAAAAAACCTAACCCGTCGCGGGGCACGGGGCGGGGAGGGGCGGGGCATAGATTGTCGCCCCGTGAATTTTTTTTATTATTATTTTTTAATACTTGGAAATATGAAGATAGAAAATTTTTAATTATTTGTTCATCCAACCCTTAATTTATCATAATTTGTTACTAATTAGCTAATTGTTTGTTAATTATTTGTTTACATACTTAATTATTACTATTATAACATATTTAGAGTTCATCTATGCAACATATTTCAAAATCGTTTTTATTTAAACTTATTTTTTATCACAATTTTTTTAATAACATAAGTTACATGTAGACCTATAATTTTTTCATACTTTTTATCCACACATTCTCTAAAAATCATTTTACACTATAAATAATTTTATCCCAAAACATAAACTTAAATTTATATAAAGTAAGGGTATTCTTTATTAAAAATTCAACTTGAATGTTATCCGTATTTTATTGAACTCGGAATATATATATATATATATATATATATATATATATATATATATAAAATTTAAACGGGGTAAGAAAACCGGTACGGGGCGCGGTATGGGGTGGGCGCCCCTCCCCGAACCCGCGCCGTTGCCATCACTATTGGCAGGCAATGCTTTTGATAGTCCGCCCCGTTGCCATCACTAATTCTAATGAGAAATCATGGAAGTCCCAAAAAATGCAAATCTACAAACTTCTACCCGTGATGATGAAAATACTTTCTGGTTTCTCTTAAGCTCCATGTTCGAGTTCGAAACAACTTGTGAGCTACCAGAGCCCTCCACTTGGCTTAAAATTAAAAATTTTTCGTTTTGTACAGAATCAGTGTTCACAGAAAACTCACAATTACTTGGGACCCACCCAAATACAAAATGGCAAAAAAATAACACCCTTCCCCAATTGTGAGGTTTCGGTAGGGTTATGTGGATTCACATAATGCCTACTTGTATACCTGATAGTGCTCTAAAATTAAACTATATAGTGTAAAAGTTGGACTTCGTGGAAGATTCTCCGTATGAAGTCTCATTTTTGAATAATAAAATATACATTTGGTAGGGCACTTACTTTTTTTCAGTGCAACCAAACGTACTTCCTTTTTTACAAAATTCATATGATAGTCATGAATTTTCAATGAATTTCTAGAACTCATTTTTATTTTATTAGGCTTGGAGTGATAAATTTGAATAAGTCAATTCTCTAGAAACTCGATCGAACATAAAAAAAAATGGACTGAATTTAGGCGTTAAAGGATCATCACAAATTGGGCCTACAGAGGCCCGTGGATCATTGTGAAAGGGCCCACACATGCGGCCGAAGAAAAATTTGGCTTGGATTCCTCACCCTCAATCATCTTTTTTTCACGTGCAATGTTTCAGGTTATTCATAAATCATAATTTTTATCAAATTTTTCAATTACATATTTAATTAAAATTCTGATTCTTTGTTAAATCAAATAAGGGCCAAAAGGAAAGCCAAGTAATACATCTTGCACAAAGTATATCTCAACAATTTTGAACAGTTGTACATTTCATTTTTAGAGATTGCGCTAGGAAATTGTTTCAATCATAGTTATTAAAATCGGACCAGTTAGTCTGGTTCGAAAATCGTCGAACTGGGTAGTGGTCCGATTTGGTTGCATTACTTGATCAAATAAACAAAAGAACTGGTAAAAAAATTGATCGAGCATTCAATAACCGGTTCAGTCGGGTTTTATAGGAATTGGAACAGGTTCAATGATTGAACCAATTTTTTAATAAAGTGAAGTGTAAAATTTTATTTACAACCAGTAATGGCCGTGATTCAAGTAGGGGCTTCCAACATGAAAATTCTCATCCCGGATCATTTTGGAAGCTAGTGAACTTTGTAATATAATAGGAGCTATCAAAATGGTTTTCTTTTTGTCACAAAATATATTTTAATTAATATTACGGTCTAACAATGACCAACCGATCAGAGGCAGACACAGAGGTGGGCATGGGTAACGTGACCCCCAACTTTGGGGCCATTTTTATCTTTTATCTAAATTTTTATATTTTTGTCTCAATTTTCGAAGTCATTAAGAGATGTTAAACGAAGTCGAAATCTTGTATTCTTAATATTATTTCGAAGTGCTCGCAGTTTAGTTTATACGTGGTTACTGATGAGCGAAACGGTCAACCGTAACAAATGTTACGATTTGTCAAAGTATGTCATTCCAAACTAGTATTTCGAGAATTTTGATAACATGCTAACTTTAAAAATCCAACGATCATACGCTAGCCAAATTCACAATCGTCTATGTCACCTCGAAGCTCATTTTAAGAACTACATCATAGACATATCAAATGATTCAAACAGATATCAAAAATAATTAAAAATGTGTCAAATGTGCATCTTAAAAAAAGACGCATAACTCGTATTTTCTTTAAAAATTTTCAATTATTATTGTTTTTGCAATGCAATTTTTCAATATAATTTACATCATTTTATTAGGAAATTTTACATAGAATATGATATCATATATTTTCGAAATTTTACATCCAAAAAAGTTATGCCCATGTAATTTTTTCTTACATGAATTTTTTGATGTAAAATTACATGGGGTATATTTTTTTTGGATGTAGTAAGTTTGATTATGCCCTTAACTCAAAATATCTGTATCCATCCCTACCACCGATTGAACCATCGACTCAGTGACCCGATAATTTTCCTTGGTCGACTATTGGGTCGAAACTAATTACTATGGTTTCAATACAAATATGTTGTGATATGAATAATTATATAGTGAAGTGGTGACAAAAATACCATGATAGGTAGAATATTAGGTCAACAGAAAAAGAATGTCATAGACATGCCCAATTGTTCAACAAGGCAGTCTCAGGAAACCCTATAAAAGCCCATCCCCAATTCCCTTTTTAAACCTCACCAAGATCTCCCAGCACTCTCTCTCTCTCTCTCACACACAAATGTGCGAACTAAAATCCCACTTTCTTTCTTGCAAATGCAACTCAGAACAACCTAATCTCCTCTCATTGAAACCCCAAGAATCAGACATGTTACCCTCTTTGATCCCTAAAAGCCCTACATCTCAACACCAAATTAAGAAACCCAACAAAACTACACATCTTTCTCTAGTCATTCAAGAATCCAAATCCATAGCCAAAATAGCCCTCCCAATGATACTCACCGGTCTATTACTCTACTCACGTTCCATGATCTCGATGCTCTTTCTTGGTCCTCTAGGTGACCTAGCGCTGGCCGGAGGCTCATTAGCTATCGGGTTTGCTAACATAACCGGATATTCTATTCTTTCCGGCTTAGCCATGGGAATGGAGCCCATTTGTGGTCAAGCTTTTGGTGCCAAAAAGTACACTCTCCTTGGTATTTCCTTGCAGAAAACAGTGCTTTTACTCATATTAACATCTTTTCCAATATCCCTTTTATGGCTTAACATTCACTCAATTTTAGTTTTCTTCAAACAAGATGAAGCCATTGCAACACAAGCTCAAGCATATCTTTTGTACTCAATTCCAGATCTTTTGGCTCAATCTTTACTGCATCCACTGCGCATTTACCTTAGAACACAATCTATAACTTTGCCTCTAACATTCTGCGCAGCAATGGCAATTCTCCTACACATACCTATAAACTATCTTCTCGTATTGAAACTTAGTTTAGGTATCAAAGGAATTGCACTAAGTGCGGTTTGGACAAATTTTAACCTCGTAGTTTCATTGATAGTTTATATATTGATTTCTGGTATACATAAAAGAACCTGGGGAGGTCTGTCCATGGAGTGCTTTAAACAATGGAAATCCCACTTGAATTTGGCCATTCCAAGCTGCATTTCTGTGTGTTTGGAATGGTGGTGGTATGAAATCATGATTTTGCTTTGTGGGTTGTTAGTGAATCCAAACAAAACAGTTTCTTCAATGGGGATTTTGATTCAAACCACTGCATTGATTTACATATTTCCATCCTCTCTTAGCTTCAGTCTCTCCACCAGGGTAAGCAATGAATTGGGTGCAAGACAACCAGAAAAAGCAAAACTTGCAGCAATTGTAGGCCTTTCAGGTATTAGAGATATTTGTTATTTCGTATTAAATATTGTTATACGATTTAAGTTTAAACTCTAGGAAGGAGACAAATTTTTTTTATTTAAATTATTTATTGCATACAACCATCTGCATGCAGTATTCTCTCTTTTTTTCATTTTTCATTTTTTCTTTTTGTCTTTTTTCTTTCTTTTTCTTCTTCTTCTTCCTTTTTTTTTTTCTTTTTTTTGCACCTGCAGAATTTTCATAAATGTGTGGCGGCAGGTCATAAATTACTTGTCAACACTAGTAAGGGTTGTACTCATTCTCTTTGATTCTCTCTGTTATTTTCAAACAGGAAGCTTCATACTGGGGTTTTCAGCACTGTTTTTCACCGTAACCATGAGGAACATTTGGGCCAAAATGTTTACTCATGATCAAGAAATCATAGCATTGACTTCACTAGTTTTACCAATAATTGGGCTCTGTGAGTTAGGAAATTGCCCACAAACAACAGGTTGTGGGGTGTTGAGAGGAACCGCAAGGCCCAAAGTGGGAGCAAACATCAACTTAGGTTGTTTTTATCTTGTCGGAATGCCAGTGGCGGTCGGTTTAGGTTTCTACGGTGGCTTAGGTTTTGAAGGGCTGTGGCTGGGGCTGTTGGCGGCGCAGGCTGCCTGTATGGCCGCCATGATGGTGGTTTTGCTTCTAACAGATTGGAAATTTGAAGCTCAGAGAGCCCAACAGTTGACTGGTGCTAATGACTTCGAAGAATTAATTGAGGAAAATAATCCACTTTTAGCAGAAATTAAGGAAGGTCCCTAATATTCTTTAGGTGATCACATAGTTTTAAACTAATTTAACTTTGTTCTCTTTTTTCTTATATATGAAATCTAAAGACGCATAAAGATGTACTACTGAATAAGAAATCCTTGGAGTCACTTCAAATTTTATGAAAATAAATTCGCAGTTCATTGTGATATGTACACTAAAATCCAACACAGATCCATATGTTTTAGCTCCGGCATGCAAGAATCATGTATATGTTCGCCTGGGATTCTACTAACTTGTACAACTCAACCTATATAACTAAACAGTATTTTACAAAATATTACAAATCAATAAGTACGATAATAAAGTATTATAATGGTGCATATTATTTTTTATTTCAGAATTTATTACAGAATAAAAGTTAACTAACCAGCAGGCTAATATTTTTTCTTAGAATGTACTGATTTAATCCTTTAAAGGAGATCGAGCAAATTTCCTTAAGAACAAAATTTCGTATCGTTTCGGAATCCCTTATTCTATGAATATTGTTACGGGAATACTATAGGTACATTGTGGTGTCCATTCCTTATTCTATGTATATTGTTACGGTAATGCTATAGGTACATTGTGGTGTCCAAAATGGACACCCGACACCCGGCATTGGCCGAGGTGCCTGCCACACCTAGGACCACAGGTGCCTCGGTGTGTCCATTTTGGTCACCAAAATGGACACCTCAATGTACCTCAAGCATTTTTCATATCCTTAATGACCCTTTGTGCTTAATAATGACCACAACATAAAATAGCAAATATATTAAGATTTATGAATCCAACGACTTCACGAATCTTTTATCGAAATTGAAAAATTCATATCATCTGCAACAATCACAAGCCTCACTAATTTTGATCTACGCTATCTCGTCTAACTTGTGCCTAACTCTCCATCATATTGACAAATCTTTCTGCCATTTTTAAGTAAAAATTTTTTGAAAATATACACATTATATATTATGCCTAAGATTCACAGCAGAAGTACTGATATATTTTTTCCCTTGGAACAAGACACCAGCACCGTTGGCAAAACGTCGGCGGCTCTCTGCATCTGCTCATCTTTTTCTATAAAAAAGGAAGCATATGTAAGGCATATATATACCTCAATATTTGTATTATAAGCAGCCCATGTTTTCCATACACACCTGCACGCATACGCATGATTAATAATTGTTGTATATTTGGATTCCTCTAAAACTTCTTAGAGTTGCTTGGCAAATAGTAATTAAAAATTAAAAAAATCAGAATTTTCTAAAATGTATAAATAGGGGGCTACCACTTTCAAAAAGTAGTAACAAATTGGAAAGAGCATCCAGCCTCTTGCATTATAAAACAAAAGTTCACTTTGTAAAACTTTTAATAAATTACTTTCTTCCTTCTTAAACTATTTTGTTCAATTAAATTACTAAAAATCTATTCCACATAAAATCTACTTAACCACTTCTATCTGGACCAATTTATTTCTTGTACTCAAAATAAAAACCATCAATGGTATTTGAGCTTTGTTCGATTGATATCGGGCATAAGAATATATTATGGCATATGCTTTCCGTTCATTCATTCATATTCCAACATTTAATGGAGACAACTATGATTTTTAGTTCATCAAAATAAAGACCTACTTTTGTGTGAAAAACTTATGGGATACCGTCAGTGATGGATATCCTAACTCAAATGGCTTTTCCACTTTAACTACTGCACAAAAGAAAGAACTTAAAGAGAATCAACAAAAATATTCTCTAACACGACTCACTCTACAAATGAACTTGACAGATACTTATTTTTTGAGAATCATGGGAGTTAAAACGGCAAAAGAAGCTTGGGATAAGTTGAAGTAGGAGTTCTACGATAGTGACAAGTTACGTGCTTGTCGTCTTCAAACTTTAAGAAGGAATTTTGAAAATCTAAAAATGAAAAATTCTGAAATTGCAAAAGATTATTATTCAAGAATAGATGAAATATTAAATTAACTAAGATCTTATAGAGATGATGTTTCTGAAAATAAAGTTGTTGGAAAAATTTTAATTACTCATACAGATAAATATGATCCAATTATTGCAGCTATTGAGGAATCTAAATATATAGATAAATTAATAGCTACAAAATTAATGGATTCACTAGAAGCACATGAAAAAAGATTAGAAATGCGTTATGAAGTTAACACAGAAAAAGATTTTCAATCTAATATGTGGTTCTAGAAATCTAAAGAAAGTGAGAAAATTCTAAAAATAGAGAAATTTTAAGGAAAGGAAAATGATAAAAGTGGTAAGTATTCTTCATGTGGTATTTGTAAAAGAAAAAGTCATTTAGAGAATGATTGTTGATTAAAGGAAAACCACAGTGCCGAAGCCGTAAAAAATTTGGTCATGAAGAAAAATTTTATCACTTTAAACAAAATCATAATTTTTTTGAAAAAATATATATATAGAATGAAGCCTATTTTATGCCTCCAACAATGTTGAATCTAAAGACAAACTGAATACGTGGTACCTAGATAGTGATTGTAGTAATCACATGACAAAAAATAAAAGTATTTTCTGCAGTTTTGATAAAACCAAGGTAAAAATCAAAATTTGGCAATGAAAATTTCATAGAGGCAATAGACAATGGCACTATTGATGTTGATGCAAAAAAAGACAAGAGACAATAGATCAAACTCTACTAAATGTAGGTTAGATGATGAAGAAAGGATATGCTTTACACTTTAAAGGAGATTCTTTGACGTCAAGGAGGATAGCGATTACCCTGCGGGTTTGTTGCAAAAGACGATTCACAGAAAAAGTAAAGAAAAGAGTAACGTCCAAAACACAGATAAATTTCTCTAAAATTCACTCAATATAATTAAAACTCCATAATTACGAAAATTAACCCACAAGCCGGGTTAAATAGCTAAGAAAATACGAATTTATGGAAATTTTACCAAAAATAACAAAATTCCAAAAAATCCCACCAAAATAAAACACGAATAAAAGAAGTAACTTGCCAAAAATTTGGCTCAAATCAGATTCATCAATTAGAAAAAGGCAAACGAAATATTACCATAAATGGAAAAAAATAACTAAAAATTGAAATTCGAAGGGGAAAATAGCAAATTTTGGCCATGAAATTGATACACTCGGTGGCCACGACATACACATCAAAAAGAGTTTTCCAGATTGAGGTCATAATTGTGATTCTGACAATCGTAGTCAAAGTTATGGCCAAATTACCAAAAAAGTGTTAAAATTGCCCTAATTAACGAAAGTATTGCAATCTCTTTCCATCTTTGCGCTGATCCACCATCTCATGGTATCTTAACGCCATCAACGTATTATCTAACATATTGATCTCACTTGATTCAGAACCTCCTGCATCATTCTTGCACGATCTATGATAGGAAAGATAAATCCCTTGTAATTGTAAAAGTCAAAAAAGGGGAAAATAGATACTTTCCAATCTAATGGAGATACACAAACAATGCGGCAATGATGACAAGTGGAAAAGTCATGGCTATGCAACAAAAGATTTGAAGATCATTCGATAAAAGAACATGATGAAAGATCTACCAGTCATAAAAGAGATTAATGCAATTTGCGAAGGATGTTTGTTCAAGAAACAATATTGTTAACCATTTTCGCTTTGAAAATCTTGGAGAGCCAAAAAGCAATTAGAGCTAATAGATGAAGATGTATGTGGTTCGATGCATACTCCGTCACACGAGCAAAACAGATACTTCATTCTCTTCATTGATGACTAAACTATAATGACATCAGTATATTTCTTGCATAAGAAATCCCTAGTATTTGAGATTTTCAAAATGTTTAAAAGTTATGTTAAAAAGTAAAGTGGTTGCAATATCAAGACAATCAGAAATGATAGAGGTAAAGAATACACATCAAATGAATTCAACAAGTTTTGTGAAGATAAAGGAATAGAGCATCAACTCACTATTGGATGCACGCCTGAACAAAATGGCGTGTTAGAAAGAAAGAGCAGAACAGTAATGGAGACAGCTAGAGCTATGCTAACAGAGAAAGGTGTTGCAAAAACCTTCTGGGCAGAAGCAATAAGACTGCAGTCTGCCTACTAAATCGATGTCCGACCAAATCTGTGCAAGACAAAACATCAGTAGAAGCATAGAGTGGACGAAAATCATCAATAGAGCATCTTAGAATTTTTGGCTACATCTACTACACACATATTTCACAAGAGAAAAGAGGTAAGTTAGATGAAAAAACAGATAAAAGAATCTTCTTAGTTTGTAGTACTCAATCAAAAGGCTATTGAATCTATAACCTAAGAATAAATAAGCTAATTATAAGTCGGAACATTAAGTTTGATGAAGATGCCACCGATAATTGGGAGACCGGTCAAGTTGAAAGAAAAGCTATCAGTATCCTAGCATAACCACAAAAACAAGACGGAGACGTTGAGGAGAACAACCTACCAAGTCCCATAGCAAGCAACGATAGAAGAACCAGTCAACTCACCAGAATTGTCACCAAGAAAAACACAAAGATTATCAAAAATATACTAAAGCTGCAACTTGATGATTGTAGAACCTGAAAGCTATGAAACAGCTTCAAAGAAACAAGAATGGATAAAAGCTGTGGATGAAGAAATAAAAATGATTGAGAAAAACAATATTTAGGAGCTTGTAGGTCTTCCTCAAGATGAGGAAGTCATATGAGTTAAATGGGTCTACAAGACTAGGCTTAATGTTAATGACTTAATCCAAAAATATAAAGCAAGACTAGTCGCCAAAGGATACTCACAGTAGTTTGGTATCGATCATAATGAGATATTTGCTCCAATTGCTCAACTTGATACTATAAATGTGTTGATTGCATTAGCAGCAGAGAAGAAGTGGAGGATTAATCAACTTGACATGAAATTGGCATTTCTCAATGGCTATCTTGAAGAGAAAATTTATGTAGAGCAATCTCAAGGGTACATGATGCAATGTAAAGAAACTAAAGTTCTCAAATTAAAGAAGCCACTATATGGACTACTTCACTAAACAAGGATTCAGGAAGAGCCAAAGTGAATCGACTCTTTACATCAAAAATCAAGGTACAAACAGTGCACTTATTATCTCTCTATATGTCGTTGATTTCATCTATATAGGAAACGATGAAAGGATGATCGAGATATTCAAGGAAG